GAAGAAACAAACTAGGACAGAGGGGGAAGATAGGGAAGAAGTTCCCACCCTAACTGAGGATCTACTGACAACTGATAGCTGCTGTGAGGAGAGTCAATTTTGTTTGAGGGTGTGAAGCCTGGTAAGTTGAACAGGCTCCAAGGGATAGACCCATACACAAAACCATTTGGGGAGCACTGATTAGACTCAATAGGCAAAATAATAGAGGACATAAGTGGGAAGGTGGAAATATATAAGGGTGTCTGAATATGATCAAAATACATTGTATGACGCCGGAGGTAGTGGTGCATGCCTTTAGTCCCAGCACTCCAGAGGCACAGGCAAGCAGGCAACTGTCTCTGAGATCAAGGCCAGCCTGAGCCTGGTCTCCACAGAGACCTGTCTCAAAAACAAAACAACAGCCGGGCATGGTGGTGCACATCTTTAGTCCCAGAACTCGGGAAGCAGAGGCAGGGGGAATCTCTCTGAGTTCTAAGCCAGCCTGGTCTACAAAGTGAGTTGTAGGCCAGCTGGGGCTACAGGAAGACCCTGTCTCAAAAAGATGAACAAAAAAACCAAAACAAAACCTGAAGCAAAATAGTAACAACGAAAAACACATTGTATGAAATTCTTGAAGAATCAAGTAGAAGAGAGAAGAGAGAAGAGAAGAGAAGAGAAGAGAAGAGAAGAGAAGAGAAGAGAAGAGAAGAGAAGAGAAGAGAAGAGGAGGAAGTTGAAGAATTGGAAAATAGACAATTCAAGCAACTAGGTGGGGGGGGGGTGCTGGAGTAAGATAAGAAATACACACACACATTGGGGGGGAGTCAGGAACAATGTGATTGAATAATTTGCCATCCCAAACTGGGACTGTTCTGAGAATAAAGGAATAAGCATTTAATAATCACAATGGATAGGCATAAGGCTGGGCAGGGTGGCAGGCAGATCTCTGAGTTTGAGGCCAATATGGTCTACATAAAGAGTTCCAGGCCTGCTAGGGCTACAGGGAGACCCTGTCTCAAAAAATACCAAAAAAAAAAAAAAAAAAAAAAAAAAAAAAAAAAAAATCCAAACAAACAAAAAACCAAAAAACAATGGGTAGGCATAAATCAGGACTCTTGTCATAATATTCATTCATGCTGAACACTTAAGGCGATAAGGGATCAGAGAAGAACTAAGGAAGCTAATTTTGACAGGAATAAGGATGGATTAAAAATGATGTGAAACTGAGGGAGGGAAATCAGTAAGGAGGTAGGAGGTTGTTTCACAAGTCTTTATCACAATGGCCTAAACAAAAGCCAGGACAATGAGGCAAAATTAAGAGAACAAATCAGATTGTTCACATCTACTCACAATTACAATAAAATAATCATTTTTAAGTATTATAGCTGTACTTTCAAAAGAACCAGAAGAAAAGTCATGGCAAATAATCAGTATCTCATAAAATAAAAACATTAAAGAAACAAAGAGTATTTAAATCCTACTTCCATCTAATGAAAGACCCTTAGCCATACCTCCATATACTATGTAGAATTTAATTCTTTTCTTCTTCCAACCAACCTCTGTATTTAATTCTCAATCTTTTGTAGATTTCAACCTGGTATTTCTTCTTTGAAGTATATAGCGTATACCAATGCAGAGGACACTGCTACTAGGTTCTGTTTCAAAACATAAGTCTCTATTTCCTTTCCTACTTAGAAACCCCAAGTGTTTTATTAACAAATTGGGTTGCATGGCAATTTTATAAGAGTCAAGGGCAGCTTGAAGAGATTCTTAATCATCAAGATTCCTTCGACACTGACATCATTTCAGTGTTTTGTTTTCCCTCTATCTTTCCTACACCTTCCTAGCTCACTGTTTCTGAGGAAGACATTTCTCTCCCTTCATCTTTATTTCTGATCACTTTTTTGAAAATGTTACACATCCTACAGAATGACACATTGTGGGAATGCTGATTTTTTTTAAAAGGAGGATGGGGATTGTTAAATATGATTCCATGGCATGAATTTCAATATATATATTTGTCAATTCTGAACTGAGGGTAATGTGTAGTGCACACTAAGATTAGTCTGCAGAAACCAGGGTTCACATTCTTATAGTTTTAGGAAATACAACTGAGGTGGACTCTAAAGGAAGACAACAATAAAGGAAAGACATTCCTGGTTCCTGACTCTAACTTTCCAAACCCAAAGAGCAAGATTTATTTTTAGAGAGCAACATATGTACCCTCTGGCTACCAAGCACCAGGCAGCATTTCTCAAGTTGCTGTAAATTATCAGAATGGAAAGATGCAAGACAAAGGAACTGTGCTACGTCTAGGAATCCTAAATTTTGTATTTTAGTTTTGACAATAGTATAAGCATAGTCTGGTCATCTACCTGACTGTATGGACCATGGAATGTCTGTGCATCACTTGAATTTCTGTATACTAATGAGAAACTAACACAAATTTACTTTTTATAGAATACATCTGTTCAAAGGGAAAATCAAATTGTCAAAAGACATTATATAATTGAAGGGTTCACATTAATCTTAATGGACAAAAAAGATAAGCAAATTGAGCCATTATTCCACACAGAGTATAGAGATGGAGGCCTAAGCAAAAGGGCTTTATATAGCTTATTCAAAATTGAAAAGTATTAGAGATATTATAGGAACAGTGGAATCGAAGAAGGCAAACAAATTCACCATAGATTTTTCTGCTGGCTACATTTTATAGTCATTTTTCACATTTCATTCTGACTAATGCTTCCAATGTAGAGACAACTCAAAGGGAGGGGAGGGTGCAAAATACGACGCACATTAATCTTGTTATCACTGTATTTATCAATTCTGTATCAAGGATAATACGTGGTGAATATTTAGAAGAACTTCCTCTTCTTCCTTCATAAAAAGGAGTATTAAAGGCAATACAGAAACATAGATAGGAAGAACAAAGAAAATAAATCATTTTTACATAAGTCTGTATTTTGGGCTATTTGGTTTTTAAAATTTTTTTAATTATTATGTTTTATTTTATGTGCATGAGTGTATTGCCTGAATGAGTGTATATAAGTGCACCCATGCCATGCAATGCCCGCGGAGTATAGAAGATCCCTTGGAACTAGAGTTATAGTCGGTTAACAGACATATGAGTAGTGGGAATTGAAACCAGGTCCTCTACAAGAGCAACCAGCCAACTCTTTAGCCCCCTTTCTCTGTTGTTGTTTTTTAATGTTTTTATTTTCTTTATTATTTTTATTTTATGTGTATACGTGTATTGCCTGCATGTAGGTAAGTGCACCCATGTCATGCAATGCCTGCGGAGGACAGAAGAGGCTATTGGATCCCCTGGAACTGGAGTTACGGACAGTCGTTAGCTGCCAAGTGAGGGCTGGGATTTGAGCCCAGGTCTTCTGCAAGAAAAACCAGTGTTCTTAACTGCTGAGCCATCCCTCCAGCCCCATTTCTCTGTTTTTAATACCCAGAATTTTCTGCTCTTTTATTTCCTTTTTAGGGTAGTTCCAATCCTAACACTAACAGTTATAGTAACACTGACTTGCGGTAATTCTAATCGATTCAAACTGCTACTTGGCCTCTGAATCTAAATAAGTCACTGAGGATCCTCTAGATTTAGAGCCACGTATGAGATCCTAAATATTAATAAGCATTAAGTACAAAGATCAAAAACAATGTTTACTATACACTTTAAAATGAAGGGGTCAACATTTTGGTCTCATGGAGAATGCAAATCTCCATTGTTTTTGTCACTAACGTATTACTGATGTCTTTAAAACAGGAAGAAGTAATTTTCAGAAGAGGAATGAGACTGAGAACAGTAAAGAAATACCTGGACTCATCATATAATTGAGAGGGCAAGAGAAAAGGAGGGAGGAGAAAGAGAAAGGCAAGCTGGTTTTGATTCGGGGAGTAAAAATTATTTTATCTATAGTATTAAATTGTCTCACCTCTTGTAAGTTTTATAATAACAAACTGGACTATGAATGCATAAAACATTGTTATGTGGGCATTTTTAAATACAGAAAATCTTGCTTGAAAAGTTGACTATTTCGAATCCAAAAGTACACACACACACACACACACACACACACACATATATATATAAATGATGCATGGATATGCATGACTAGAAAGATCCAGCATTAAACACACACGTGTGTACATGAACAAGCACTAGCTTAAAACTAGCAGCATCACAGTCACCTGGACAACTCACTTGAGATCTTTGTCCAGTTTCTGAATCTGTAAAATGAAACAGATACACATACTCTATCTAAAATACTAACATATTCTATTATCTGCTTTGCTATGCATGGATATGCATGACTAGAAAGATCCAGCATTAAACACACACGTGTGTACATGAACAAGCACTAGCTTAAAACTAGCAGCATCACAGTCACCTGGACAACTCACTTGATATCTTTGTCCAGTTTCTGAATCTGTAAAATGAAACAGATACACATACTCTATCTAAAATACTAACATATTCTATTATCTGCTTTGCTTACTTAATCTCACAGTGCAAACTGAGATGAAAAAACTCTTGATTAGGTCTTTCTAATGGCTAATGACATCCTATAAACATACCAATTACTTTTAAAATACACACCTAGCAAGATTATATCTGCTTTTTAAAATACTGTTTCTGAATTATTAATGGACAATAAACAACAAAAATATACAATAGCTATAAAAGGTCTGTTTAAATAGTTTGGAAGAATAAAGAAAATACAAGGTGTGTTATTTACTACATGATACTCAAGTGTGTATGTATCTCTAGTTGAAGAAATTAAGTTTTAAAATTCAGGTTTTCAAAATTTATATGTAAGATTCTGTCCAGTTATTCTAGTAATTAGGTACTTTGTTCTCACCTTGCAAATGAAAGCCCAGGCTGGAAATTGTCTACAGGAAGTCAATAGGAACAAAACTATGCAATCAACGAACACTGAAATATAACCACTCAACTATTTCGACATTAACTATTAGTTGGCGTGCTTTCTCAAAAACTCATTTTGACTCACCTTTGTCCAAGGATGTGCCTTGATTTGCGGGAATTTGAATTCTGTGTAGTTTGGGTTCATTTCTCTGATTTGCTCCCTTGTTGGTGTTCCCAGGACCTAGATAAAGAAACATATTGATTATTGTCAACTTTTTCTAAATATTCAAGATACATTCTTTACGTCTTAATGCACTGATTTTACTGAAATACAGAATTTCAAGGAGAAATATATAGTTCAGTAAATAGCACAGATTTCTGGAAGCCTATTAGTTTGTAACTGACAATAGAACCATGCTATACTACCATTGACAGATGTCTATGAAAATGCTGTTAAATTTTGGATCATAAAGATATTACTAAAAACATTAAACACTGGTTTGGGCAGTTACAGAAGAGGGAAAAGCAATACTCAAGTTAGCCTAATAGTGTAGTAGTCTGGCATCGGTGGGCTAGTTTCAAACAGGTCCTTCCCCCATTCTCCCAAAAAAGTGAGCTCCTAGGTTTGATGCATAAATACATAAAATAAAAATCAAACAAAACTTTTTAAAAATCGAAGTAAAAATTAGGCAGTTCTGTTCTATCTAGAAAAACAATCTATTTGCAATAATCACATATGAAGGAAAAGATTATTTTATTCCTTGAAAAAGGTTCAGCCAAAGCTTCTAAAGTAAATGCTAATCAGGAGACACTAACTTCACTCAATCACTGATTTATTTACTGAGTGACTACATATATTAATATCTATAGAGAATATAAAGGGAAAGATTTCCTGTTACAATTAACTCGTGTAATGGTTTATTTTAAAAAACATAACAATACAAGGCAAAAATATATTAAACACTTCGTTGCCTTTACAGTTGTACTAAGTACTGGGTGCAATGAAGGCTGCACAAGACAGAAGGAAGAAACATTAAATACTAAAAATGAGGTTCTTGAAGAGTGATACTCATCTTTATTCATTCATCCATTCATTCTTTGCAGCAGGGTCTCACTAAAGAGTGAGGGAATTAATCGCCTGCGCTACCTTGCCCAGCTGAGACAAGTTTATGGAAATAAAGTATTAAGCTATTTACAATTCAAAGGCAGTAGCACAGTAGAATAGTACAATGCTAAGTGTGGGAGACAGGCTTGAGCCTAGGGTGAAAGTCTTATTGACAGCCATAAAGAAGGCCTGAGGTAACCGCCCGACTGCTGGAGCCACAAGGAACACCTTGTGACATTTTGCTCCCATTGGCAGATCATGAGACTGATGCCTAGAGCTCGCCACTCCCTAATCACCACCCTTGGAATCAAGGTATCCTACTTGCTGTACCGTGATAGGATCCTAAACCTGTTATGCTAATAAGGTATCCTACTTCCTGTGCTGTGATTGGACCACTATCCTTATATAAGCTTGTGCCTTCCTGCAATAAAGCAGATCTGTGTCACTGAACCTGGTCTCCTCTGTCTGAATGCGGCTCCGCTGACACAGTCTCCTCACCAGCCCTGGGGTCCGGACCAGACGACTGATCGGAGGAACTGAGAGCAGAAGAGCAGCCATAGCCAGAGGAGAGCAGCCACAGCCGGCGACCACAGCTAAGTACTCAATTTGTGGTAACAACCAGTGAATATTCAGAGGTCAGTTGGAGTAGTTCTATAAAGATTCACTGCAAACTGAGGCATTCCCTTTTTTTTTTTGACTAGCTGGGGCAAAAAGGAGACCCAATCTCAACCCAAACCCCCATATACAATTGACTTTGAATTTACTCATTTTTACATGTCAACGAGCCCCCTTTAGTATAGTGCCTGTACATAGAAATGCTTTTGTAACAATGGGAGAAAACCAGACTGACAGTAATATTAAAAAAGGTTTTTTTAGTTATAACTGGTGGTCAGAATTTAAGTGCTCTGGATTATTTTTTTACCTTCAAAACATGCACTTGTAACTTTTAAGCAGCTTTAATTACTAACTTACAAATGAACTGTCCTTAAATATCATCAATTATTTTAAAAAGCAATTAAGCAAATAAAGAAATCGGTCAGAACACTTTGTTTATAGCTCCAGACCTTGACATCCTAACATCACAGAATGTTCTATATCTAATTTTTCTTGCTAAAGGTTGAACTAAAATAATTTTTCTATTCCTTTTATTATTTTTTTAAAATATTAAAACCAAGATCTTACTAGGCAATTATTTATGTTGGTGCTTTTTAACAATAAACCAATTAAACGAAACATTAGGGAACAACTTTTAAAATGCCTATTTCTAAGACTTGATCATGAAGGATTACAGAAAGCCATAACTTTTAGAAAATGAAAGCTAGATGGGAGATCTTCTGCTTACAGGTCAGAGAGTAAATATTCAGGGCTTGTATATTCTAGGCTTCTGAGCTACCCTCACTGTCACTCTTCAGTTCTGATGCTACAGCACAAAAACAATCATAAATAAAAGCTTGCTCAGAAAATATTTGGTCCTAGTCCTAGTACACTGACCACTGATCCAGTCCAAACATTTTTAGGATGTAAAAAGTTTTGTTATTTTTATTGTTGTTTTTAAACACAGGGTCTCCATGTTGCCACATCTGGCCTAAAACTCACAGTGTAGACCAGACTGGTCTTGATCAAACTGGGTAAAGACACAACCAAAAACCATATCCTTAATGAACATAGATGCAAAAATTCTCAACAAAATAGTTGTAAAATGCGTACAGACACACATCAAAAAGATCATTCACCATGATCAAGTAGGCTTTATCCCAGAGATGCGGGGATGGTTCTATATACGTAAGTCAATAAACGTCATATAAATGGACTCAAAGACAAGAACCATATGGTTATCTCAATAGATGCAGAGACGGCCTTTGACAAAATTCAACATGCATTTATGCTCAAAGTCCTAGAGGGAATTGGACTGGAGGGAACTTACCTCAACATAATTAAAGCCATATATAACAAACCCACAGCCAACATAATACTAAATGGAGAAAAACTGGAAGTATTCCCATTACATGTCCACTATCTCCACTCCATTTCAACATAGTGCCTGAAACTCTAGCTAGAGAAATAATACAGGAGAAGAAAATTAAAGGACTACTAATTGGAAAAGAAGAGGTCAAACTATTACTTTTTGCAGATGATATCATAATAGACCTAAGAGATCCCAAAAGTTCCACCGGAAAAGTCCTAGAACTGATCAACACTTTCAGTATAGTGGAAGATTATAAAATCAATCTACAAAAACCATTAGCCTTTCTATATTCCAATAAGAAGCAACTGGAGAAAGAATAGAGAGAAATGCACCCATTCACAATTGCTGCAAAAAAAAAAAAAAAAGCAACTCTTATAATAAATCTGACCAAAGACATCAAAGATCTCTACAATGAAAATTTTAAATCATTAAAGACATTGAGGAAGGCACCAGAAGCTGGAAGGACCTCCCATGCTCATGAATTGGAAGAATTAATATAGTGAAAATGATGATACTACCAAAAGCAATATAAAGACTCAGTGCAATCCCAATCAAAATCTCCATGACAAAGTTCACAAAATTAGAAAAAAAATTTACTTAAATTCGTATGGAAGCACAAAAGACCCCGAATAGCCAAAGCAACCCTGAGCACAAAGAGCAGCACTGGGGGGATTAATAGACCAGATCTCAAAGTATACCAAAGAGCTACGGTCATAAAAACAGCATGGTACAGGCACAAAAATGGACACAAAGATTAATGGAACATCATTGAAGATCCAAACACCAGTATATACAATTTCAACAACATGATATTTAACAAAGGTGCCAAGAACACAAAATTGAAGAAACACAGCATCTTCAAAAAATGGTGTTGGCAAAACTGGTTCTCAAATATGTAGAAGAATGAAACTAGATCCTTATCTTTCACCTTGCACAAAAGTCAACTCCAAACGGATCAAAGACCTCAATGTGAAATTGGAAGCCTTGAAACTAATAGAAGAAAATATTGGCAGTAACTTACAAGATATAGGTGTAGGAAAGGATTTTCTAAATGGGACAGAATTTGCTGAGGAATTGAGGTCAGCAATCAACAAGTGGAACCTCATTAAACTAAAACGCTTCTGAAGAGCAAAAGAAACAATCAAAAAAGTGATGAAAAAAACCACAAAAAGGGGAAAAAATCATCACTAGTGACATCCAGAATATATAAAGAACCCAAAAAACAAAGGAGTGAGAAAGCAAATGACCCAATTAAAAGATGGGCTAAACATCTAAACAGCTCTCAAAGGAAGAAATAAATATGGCTAAGAAACATCTCAAAACGTGTTCAACATCTTAGTAATTGGGGAAATGCAAATTAAAACCACCAGGCTAGGATCAAGAGAACAAATGATAACAAATGCTAGAGAAGATGTGGAGAAGGGAACACTCATTCACTGCTGAAGGGATTGCAAACTCGTGCACCCCCTATGGAAAACAATGGAGAACTCTTAAAAAACTAAAAATGAACCTACCATATGACCCGGTTTTATCCTACTGTAGAGACACTTGTACAACCATGTTTGTTGCTGCTCTTTTCACAATAGCTAAGAGATGGAAGCAACCCCAATGTCATTCAACTGAGCAGTGGTTAACAAAAATGTGGTATATTTATACAATGGAGTTCTCTTCAGCAGTAGAAAAAGATGAAATAATGAATTTGCAGGTAAATGGATGGATCTAGAAACTGTTAAACTAAGTGAAGTAACACAGACTCAGAAAAATAAAAGATGTATGTTCTCCCTCATTTGTGGATCCTAGCACCAAATCGTTTTAAGCTCCATGTCCTTTTAATAAGACGATGCTGTACAGCAGTCTCCTCTGCATGAAATAACTACCATCATGACGACTTCAGTTGTGCCTGATTGCTAAACTCTTCACAATTGGGCTTGTTGACGGTTGTGCTTTTTCACTAAAGGATGGGCAAGCAGGTTCATTGGACCCTCACCAGAGCATCTAGCTATTCTTTCCAGCCAACAGTATGTAATTTGGCCCTAATCATATATGGCCTCCTGGATTGGAGAGGGCTAAAGTATACAATATGGAGAAGGCTAGGAAGAAAAGGCTTGACCCATGCTGTGTAAAGGCTTTCCAGTGTGCATACCATCAGGTCATTCATACACCTCAGCAA